AAATCCCTGGCTCAACTTTTTTTTTTTTTAGTTGTAATTGTTGCTGAAATGATTGTAAGTTATATGAGTCTACCATTAGTGATTTAAGGTAGGGGTAGATTCTGCCACTGCAAGGGGTATCTGTAGTAAAACAATTACATTTAAAATTTAAAAAACATAAAATTTTACCTTATATTAGTCATCTATCTCATGGAAAACTCTTCCAGTATGATGTCAGGTAGTATAGCCTATATTTCAAATTTCTGTACCCATAAATCTGTGACTGAACGCTCCTTCTAATCTTATTAGCTAATATTTGAAGTCTTTGCACTTATAAATTGTTGATCTCTTTATAATTTTTTTAGCCAACATTTTAAATATCTGTACTCATAAGTTATTGGTCTGTTTATAATTTTATTCATTTTTATAGCAGTCAAATTTTATTTAACTTCACATATGATTTTTCTTCTAAAAATCTAAACATCCTTTTATAGTTTTGAGGTATAATTTACATACAGTAAATTCTCACTTTTAAGTGTATGGGTCTGTGACTTTTATAAATGCTTACAGTTGTGAACTGCTATAAAAATCAGGATGCAGAGTAAGCCAGGCATGGTTCTGCTCATCTGTAATCCCAGCACTTGAGATGCTAAAGCAATAGGATCACCTCAAGTTCGAGATTAGCCTGGGCTCATGGTGGGTTCAAGGCTAGTCTGAACTGCATAATGAGAAGCTGTGAGAGAGAGAGAGCCAAATAGTTATTTCCATCATCCCTGCAAAGTTCCCTGTGCCTCTTGATAGCAAACCCCTTCTATCCCTAATACCTGACAGCTACTGATCAGTTTTCTGTCCCTATAGTAATAAAATAGTCATATAAATGAAATTATGCAATATATAGGCTTTTGAGTCAGGCTTCTGCTTAACATAGTACATCCCAGTTCTATAAATTACTGTATAGTATTTCACTATATAGAAATACTAAAGGCTGTTTATCCATTTACCAGTTTGAAGGACATTTTGAGTTACTTTCAGCATTTGGCATTTATATAAAAAGCCACCATCACATCAGCATGTAGGTTTTTATGTGAACATAAATTTTCTGTTCACTTAGGTAGATACCTTCTAGTGGGATTGCTAGATTTTTATGGTAAGAGTATGTTTAGCTATATAAGAAATTGCCAGACTTTTCTATAATGACTGGGCTACACGATTTTACATATGTACCAGCCATGTATAACTTCTAGCTGTACAGAGCTCTTGTTTTGTGCACTTGCCATTATGTGGTCATTTTCTTTTGTTTACTTTACCAATCTAGTATGATGTAATAATCTTTAAATAATCTTTAATAAGATTTAATAATCTTTAAATAAGATTTAAAAAAAAAACTTTTAGACTTATCCACAAATGTTTCAGAGTATTTTCATAGTATTTCTTGTGTATTTCATTCTGTGGCTAGGAGATAGTCAAGGAGCCTGGGCAGAGAGGTAATGGTAAAAACAAATGAAAAATATAAACTACTTTGCTATTTGTATTGGTTTCAAATTACCAAAACAGCAGGAATGTGTTCTCTCATGATTCTGAAGACCAGAAGTCTGAAATCAAGGTGTTAGCTGGGTGGCACTCCCTTCAGAGGCTCTTGTGAAAATTGTCCTTGGCTCTTCCACTGGTGGTTGCTTACATTCCTTGAGCATTGTCACTGCAATCAATAGAAGAGTTTACTTCTTCTAGTTTCCCTCTTAACATCTTATATAACCATAGTACATTTGTCAAAACTCAAAAACATTGGTATGTTACTATTTTATTATGATTTATTACATATTTTATTATTTTATTACAATTTGTAGACAGTAGACTTTATTCACATTGCCCTAATTTCTCCATAATGTCCTTTTCTATTCTAAGATCCATTTCAGGACACCTCTTTATATTTGGTATGATTTTTATCTCTGGCTATGTGATGGCTTGTGTTTAAATGCCTCATGTGGTTTTAAGTGGAGCTTTTTCAGAGGTGGCTGGATCTATAGTGTGTGATGCTGGGAATGATTCATGGTGCAAGCCCTAGGATTAAGGGTGTGAGTGCTACCCACCCTAAGTAGTCTGGATAAGATATAAGAAACAGCTGTGGTCATCCCTTGTTGCTTTGCTACCTTCTACCTACCATGAACTATTTCCTCCCCTACAATGCCTGTCTGCCAGCCACACTGCTTTGGAGCCAGCCAATTATGGACTGAAATCTCTACAAACTGTGAGCTAAATTTACCTCTTTTAACTTTGAGCATCAGATATTTTGTCTCAGCAACTAGAAAAGTAACAGAAAAATAATGACATGCTGTAACAGGTTAAAAACTGATTTATAAGTTACTATTACTAGTCTTGGTTCTGTTTGCAAGAATTTTTTTTTTTCCAGTTTCTATCCCAAAGTAGTTAACATGTAATTTTTCTTTTGGTGAATGAATTTTTATATCATTCTTTTTGAGTTGTATTAAGAGGAGATTTCAGAGTTCGAGACTGTTGACCTTTGTAGATTGGATCTCCTCATTTAGGCAACCACAAAACAGTGCAATGAACCTCTGAGGAAATTGCCTACATTAAGAGCCTGTATTGAGAAAATAAATTTCTAAATTTTACCTTCCTTGTTTTCTTTGTTGCTTAAATTAGAATTAATAGCTTTTATTGGTAAAATTATCTAAGCATTTATATTTTCATTGATCTGTACATTTTAGTGTTTGGTTAAATGGCATTTTTTTAAAAATTAATTTTATTGGTACATTTTAGATATGCATAATGATCACATTCAACATAGGAAATTTATACCTATACATGATGTATCTTGATTCTTCTTTTTTCCTGCATTCTCCTCCTCTCCCTTCAGTCCCTCTTCCCCTCCTTTAAATGGCATTTTTGATACTCACACAAATTTTTGACAAACAGAATTCAAAAATAATTATGATCTGTTTCAGAATGTGTCTTTATAACTTGGCATAGTCTATCATGGATTCTATTTCAGCGTTTTGTTTTTCTGGCTTAAAATATTCTGTAGACATTTTGTTAGAATTTTAGGACTTTAATTAAGACAGACAAAAAAGAAGACCCTAAAGAAAGAAAGAAATGCAAAAAAAAAAAAAAAGTCATTTGTTGAGTTAGAAAACTCATATTTTTCCAATGGCAAAATTCTGATTATCCACTACCATTCTATAATGTCTGTCAGTGTTACAGAAATAACCATTAAGTATTTAACAAATGTTTTATGAAGTATAATGCTCTACAGATACCACAAAATGACTACATGAGAGTCATGTAAAGCTGCTAATACAAAGTAGGAACTTGAATCAAGATAAAAAATGAGATGTTTAATTTTGAGGCATAGGTTGCCTAAGATTGGTAGTTAATGAAGCCAGAAAGGAGAACTTGTATATCTTTCAGGTTTTATTCTAGCAGCAAATATTTTTCCCAAACCAAACATATCAAACAGATTGTATGCTGATTTCAAGTCCTGTCTTACAAATTCTAGTACTTGATTTCTTAAGACTTTGGAAAGATCTGTAAGGTTTTTCAAGATCCATTAAGTAGTGGAACTGCCAGTGTTACAGGGTTTGACTCAGAGTGAAAATAGTGCTAGCTACATGACAGTTTTATTAGAAAGGCAAATTTTTCAATTATTTGGAAAGTGTTTTATGTTCACTCTATTTTTAATTTTAATTTTAATTTTTTTGGTATGGGGATCTAACTCAGGACCTTGGCACTTGCAAGGCAGGTGGCGGCACCACTGAGCTACATCCCTGGCCCTTTACTGTATTTTAATGTTTGGAAGCATTTTTTTCAGCTGTATGTACAGTCATGTGTTATCTTTTACTTCATTTCCCATTGGTTTTCAGCTTGTGTATTTCATTCTGTGGCTAGGTGATAATCAAGAAGCCCAAGCAGAGAGGCAATAGTAAAAACAAATGAAAAATATAAACTATTTTGCTATTTGTATTGGTTTCAAATTTCCAAAACAGCAGAAATGTATTCTCTCATGATTCTGAAGACCAGAAGTCTGAAATCAAGTTGTTTGCTGGGTGGCACTCCCTTCAGAGGCTCTTGTGAATATTGTCCTTGGCTCTTCCACTGGTGGTTGCTTACATTCCTTGAGCATTGTCACTCCAATCTTTTTTTTTTTTTTTAATCCTTAG